TTTTTTTGATTGATTGAGTGATTGATTGGTGGGGAAAGGGTCGCCCTTCCTCCCCACACACACACACACACACGGCCGTTATGATTGATTGATTGATTGATTGATTGATTGATTGATTGGTGGGGAAGGGGTCACCCTTCCCCCCCCCACATGCACACACACACACACACACACACACACACACACACACACACACACACACACACACCGGGCGACCCCTCCCCCACCAATCAATCAATCCATCAATCAAAAAAAAAAAAAAATTTAAAACAGCAGGCGCACATGTGTTTTTGTGTGCGCTCAGGGGTTGGGGGGGGCAACCCCTCCCCCACCAGTTGATCACTCAATCAATCAAAAAAAAATCAAAAAAAAAAAAAAACATTGGGTTCTTTCTACCCGTGTAACAGTGTGTGTGTGTGTGTCAATCAATCAGTCAATCAATCAATCAATCAATCAATATATATATATTTATCGGTAAACCGTAGGCAGAGAGGGAGAAGAGGACAACAAACGAGGGGCTGTGACAAATTGTTTTGTCGAAGTTTCATATATATATATATCGTCACAAACAGAACTGCCCGGTAAACCGTAGGCAGAGAGAGAGAAGAGGACAACAAACGAGGGGCTGTGGCAAACTGTCTCGTTGGAGTTTCACCGACTCATCAGGAGGCTGAACCCTCAACAGTCTGCAGAATCCCCTCACTGATTACTATATATATATATATATTTTAAATTGTTTTTCACCCACCCAACCTCTCCAGGCCCTTCCACATAGAGGGCACTACCAATTGAAAACTAGGGTAATTAACATACATCGAACCCCCCCCCTTAGAGGTTCTTCGAAATTCTGTACTCCTTTGTGACTGTTAGTCCCAGAGTCTAAGGAAAAGGGGAAAAAAACAGCAGCAACAACAGTATGTTATACTAAAAAACCGAATAAATGGTCAGTATTTACGAGTCACTGCGGTTGATTTGACGCTATCTGGCCTGGCTTTGGAGCCCATGCACATCAACACAGGCAGTCCCAACTGAAAAGCTAGGGTAATCAACAGAGCCCCAACTCCCCCCATCATGGTGGTAACGAACATAAACCCAGCCCAAGCCGGCAAAGTGACGAGTAGCCACCAAGCGCGATGCCGATCCTCATGCGTGAGCAGAACGAGACTGCCGAAGAATAGAGGACTGGCCATGACGATGCCAAAGGCCGACCAGGCAAGGTTGGGATCGTGATAATCAAATCCTTTCTCGTAGCAAGACCACGTGGAACAGTACTCGAGGCCCTCTTCCGTCTTCCCAACGAAGTTGCAGTCGCACCTGGACACCTCGAACTCCTCCGTCCCTTCTATGCTTCCCTCCCAATTGCTGCAATAGGTCTCTTGAAATCCCTTGCAGACATAGTCTTCTTCCTCGGTGCTGGTGATGTCTCGCTCGGTGCAATGCCATTCTACACAGTAGTTTGTCTTCGCCTTTCGAAAGTCCGAAGAGACGCCGAACTCGGCCATCGCCTTTTGAGAGTCCGAAGAGCCGCCGGCGGAGGCGGAGGCGGAGGCGGAGGAGAGCTGCTGCACGGTTTTCTTGCAAGTGCACGAGGTCCATTCCTTCTGTATATCGCGATACGTTGTGACCAAGTAACCATCGCTGTTCGTATAACAGCAGGAGGTTGTGACCGGCGTTCCATCGGCGAGAATCACTGGGGAGCCGCAGTCGAACTTAGAGTGAAAACCACAGAGGTCCGCCTCATCCTGCAGACAGGCCCAGGACTTGCAATGCTCATGGCCCATCTCCTTGCACTGGCAGGACCCCACCTTGATCTCCCCTGGAGATTGCTCCTTGGTCGTCCAGTGCACGCACACGGTTCCGTTAGTCTTCACGGACTCGTAGGTCTCTGTCTCGTCGTCCCAGTGGAAACGCGTGATAGGCGGGCCGCCAATATAACTAGGGAAGCCGTGACAGAGATGGCCGGAGCGAAAGAGCGCATCGCGACGAGAACAGCGGGAGAAAGTTCGGCACAGACTTCTGTCTCGACAGGTGAAGCCGTTGGCAGAGACGAGACCGGGCTGAGCGAGAAAGAAGCAGCAACAGAGGAGAATCGCCCAGCGGCAGAGATTCGAGCTCGCGACCTCTCGGTGGCTTGCGTCACCATAGCTTTGCTCCGCACAATGAAGCCTCCTCCTCCTCCTCCTCCTCCTCCTCTCAGTCTGTGTGTTAATCATGGTTGATAGCACTTCCGGCAGGCGCGATTCTCTCTCTCGACAGAAAACGAACACGCCGACTGATCCGGGTAACCGTTAATTCTTCCGACCAGGGGCTAGGTCCCACTTACACACGAATTAAGAGATATTGACCGTAGATTGCACAGATCAACGGCCAGAATCTCTTCATCCGTGCGAGTGGGACCTTGCCCCAGAATATCACTAGTAGTAGACTATCTTAACGGTTACTAGTGTATTAGTGCTCCAAGCAGTAGAAGAGCAAAATTGCGAACGACCAATAGAAGAGAAAGAGCCACAATACGAGCAGTAGAAGGGGGAAAGAATGACGACGACGGAAGAGGGGAAGAGGGGAAGAGGGGAAGAGGGAAAGTAGGGGGGGGGGGGCGGGGAAAGAGGAAAGAAGAGAGAACGAGCTCCGGTTTCTATGAAGTAGACTTAACAAGGTATGGTGCTCCAACCAGTGGAAAGAGAAAGATTGATCAAGGAGGGGTAGGAGGGATAGAGAGGAGGGGAGAAGGGGGGAGG